CTCCAATAATGATTTCACTTCTCAGCTTGAGCTATTAGATGATATGATAGTTTATGATGAAATGTATGTTATATCTCGCATCAAATTGACTACTTCAGGGGTTGTATAATAAAAATTAACAGAAAAAAAGAAAGAAAGTAAATTATTAATTAGGTGGGATATGATAGCAATCATGAGCGGGAATAACGGAGCATGAAAGTGGAATAATATGGGCATATAGTACATCTAGGATAGGAATAAATCTTTAATACTACTGCTATCAAAAGATTCAGTGTATTTCTCTAATGAAAATATTACATGTCAGTTAAAATTCTGTTTTTTCTGTTAAATTTTTTTTCTCTCCTCTGATGTGTAATGTTCTCATTGATGAGATACACTGAATCTTGGTACATCAGTAGTACTAAAGATTTATTCGTTGGATAGTAAGGGAAGGGCATGGTAAACTTAGTAGTTGTCTTGGATTTATTGGAGCCAGTATGCGTCACGAACCATTAGGCTTGAAGAGATAACGTGGCATCCCAGCAAAAAGTAGATGTTTACAACATAAATTTGACCTGTGATAAGGATGAGCTACGCTCTCAAGTGTTTGTGTTCCATTAGTGCCCCACAAACAAGTGGTAGTTCCAATAGTGTCTATTAATCAATCCGATATTGACACCATAGCTACCCAAGTGGTTGAATTTATAGAGCAAGCTACGAACATAAATTTCAACCAATAGTGCGCACTTAGGTTTCCAGAAAAGAACAAGTGTAGCATTTTGGCTGATTGACAATTGTGGTAAACAAAAATTGTAGAAAATTACGAGAGAGAATATTTACCATAAATGAAATACTTTTATGGAAAAAGTGTTTTTTACAAGAGATAAAATTATTTCACGTAACTTCAAAATAATATCATTTTTGGATTAGAAGAGATCATACATACACACAAACAGAGAGAGATATATGTGGGTAATACTTTTTTATATTACAAAAAAAAAAAATTATCTCATACACACACATTTTTTAAATGGGTTTCACAAGAATTTTTTTCTCTCACCTTCAACTCTTTTCTCTCTTCTATTTATTGTTTGGGTAGGAGATAATATTTTTCTTATGAAACATAAGAAAAATATTACCACACACACACACACATATATATATATATATATAGAGAGAGAGAGAGGTAGGATCCTTTGACACCAGTGTCAAATTTAAAATTTGACATCTCATCTGAGAGCTGTTAGATCAAAAAAGATCAACGCCTCTGATTTGTAAACATGTGACACCATTGCTCTTTTTTGATCTAATGGCTCTCAGACGAGGTGTCAAATTTCAAATTTGACACTGGTGTCAAGTGATCCTACCTCTATATATATATATATATATATATATATATATATATATATATATATAGGGAATAAAATTGTAGGGCTTTGCTATTTCACTAAAGCCCAATTGGACTTAGTGCATAAGAAGAGCTAAAGAAACCTAGAACCCGTTCGGTTTAGGGCTAGGATTTCTTGGAACTCATATATATTCTACACTTATAGTCATCAGCCCTTATGTCTTCTTTTGATGGTTGTAGAGGATGAGATAATGTCATCTCCATGATAGTGAGAGAGTGCCCACATACCAGTCTTATCCCTCTTGAGAGATAGTCTGGAAGATCTACCACTAGCTAGACTCAAAGAGATTGTTCGTGCATAGGATAGCAGTTCATGAAGAGGAATCAAATACGAGGAGATACTGTATAGATATGCGCAACAAGAGGTAAACATAAAGATGATCCATCGCATCCAAAACCGCAACAATTTATACGCTTCTGCAGATCCAATTGCGCCTAAAAAACATCTCCCGTTGTTGCTGTAAAATTGCTGATCTCCTACGATAGAGACAAGATTCTGGGCCCCACTATTTTTAAACAAAATAAAAAATATTCTAACACAATTTTCGAACTCTCAGCTACAATCAATTCTCTCCTCGTGCACTAGAAGAAGTGATTTGCCCATATATAATGTCTTATACAGCTAACTACGTGACAAATATGCAATGGCTCGTGTCTCATGTTTTGATGCTCCACCTTTAGTCTTAACCATCCATTTACTACTCCAAGTTGTGTTGGGATGAGAATTCAAGTGAGTACTAAAACTCTATATTGAATATAAATGTACTACGATAGGACTAAATAAGTGAGGATTTCAAATTGCAAAGGAGTTGTTAGAATGAGAGTGCAGGAGAAAGTTCAATGGGGATAATGCAAGCCATAGCCAAAATCATGGGTCTACAATTTTGGCATCAAAATTTGTTACAAACACTCAAAAAATGGCCGTCAAAAAGGCTTATGTAACGTGATGGTCAGGCAATTGACCATAGTAATTAAAATTAGAAGAAGAATAAAAAATTGTAAAACGTAAAATCCTAACGTAAACAAAAATCATAAAAACGTAAAAAAAACATTTAGAATTTTAATGAAATTGTTTTGATTAAAAAAAAAGTATAAAGTCGTAAAAGCTCAGATTTAAATTAGAATTTTACTTACCACACACTGATGTTGAATGAAATGAATTGGAGAGGCTTCGCAATGTTTCAACTTTGGTACTCTAATTGATCTGGAGAGGCTTCACATGGTCATGGAGAAGTATTGGTAAAAGTTAAAATATTAAAAGAGTAAAGTGTGTGTCATTTTAAAAGATGTAAAGTTGTGTCGTTTTAAGAGAGAGAAAGAGATAGATAAAAAAGGAGAGAGAGTTGACCAAAAAAAATAAAGGTGTGGGTCCCACCTCTTTGTGAGAGTGAAATGGTATAAGTTGTGTCATTTAAAAGGATAAACATTTTTCCCATATTAAATATGTATTAATTATTGGGTTCGTTTTTTCTACAATCAATGTAGATAACTTATCTACAGTGAACCAAAAACGAAGTCGTTTTGAGGCGGAAATCAAGGTATTTTAGTAATTATAATTTATTTCAGGGTTATATTAGTTTTTTTATTATAATTTTTTAATTTTTCAACCCAAAACGACGTCGTTTTGGGTGTGAATGTAGATAATTTATCTACATTCACTTTAGAAACATTAAAGCCTTAATTATTTTGGGTGGGAAGAAGGAGATGAAAACCAATGCAAAACAAACTCTCACGCACACGTAAATAAACCACATTATTATTTTACAAAAAATAAATAAATAAATAAATTCATATAATATATTATTAATTAACCACTTAATTATAATTTAATTACAATTTAAATACCAGAAAAGGAAGATATGCTTACCACTTAGCTAGCGAACATTGGAAGGCGCTAGTCTTAAGTGTGATTTAATTTGGTGGGTGGATTACTTCTCGTTTGCCGTGTTATCTCCGTTGGATCTTTATTTAGAAATAACCATTGCTGACCTACGAACTGATATTTTAAAAATTTTGATGTGTCGTGTCCGATACTTCTCGACATTCACTGACACTTCGACACTTTCCGACACTCCAACACTTGTTGTAAAGACTCAAAAAAAGTTCAAAGGTTGCGTTGCGTTGCATTTTGAGTTCCAACTATTAGATTCGTTAGATTACGATTACGATTTTATTGAATTTAATATAAATATTTGGGATATATTATTTTTCTTTGCAAAATTGATGAGTATTATAAGTTTAGTTTTATTTTTTGGTTAAATTATTGAGTGCTAAATATAATATACACTACATAAATTAAAAATATTATATAATATCAAAACGTGTCCTAACGTCTCAAAATTTAACATTTTTTAGAATTAACGTGTCGGAGTGTCGTGTCGTGTCGTATCCCGCGTCTTGTGTCGGTGTTGGTGCAACATAGGTGCTGAGTTCTAAGTTCTAACAATAGGAGCAATGGGTTATATAATTTCTTCCTAATGAAATTTTTTTCTACTTTGGATACATTTTTCATTGTGTTCATACCAAAATGACCAATTACTAAAATGGTTAAAGAAAATGAAAAAGTTGCGAGTTAACCTTCAAGGATATATAAAGGGTTTGGGTCACTTCAATTTGCGTCTAATAAGCAGTTTTTCCAACTTCGTACCAACAAATATTCATTTCACAACTCTATATATGTTAGTTTATCATCATTTCAAGAATTGTCGGTTCTTCAACACGAAACAATCACTTCTAAATCTATTAATTAAAAGGAAGCTACGAGAAAAAGTGTTTGAGAGATATAATATAAAAATTATTGATAGACCTTCACTGTTTAAGTTTTTAGATGAGATAATTATTTGTCATGGTATTAGAAGGCTTTTTGCGTGAAAGAGTGTATTAGAGAGATATAATATAAAGGGATTTGATTTTCTCATGTTAAATGAGAATTCAATTCTCATGCTGTAGAGATAAAAAGCATGTGAGACCCATGTGTTAAAAAAAATTATATGTAGGACCCATATCAGCACGGAGATCGAAGGGTGTGTAGGAAAATTTGAATTCTCATGTTAAATGAGAATTATAAAATCCTAATATAAAATTATTAAAGGTGTATCACTACATAACTTGAGGTGTTGGGTTGAGATATGTGTTTACCATGGTATAAAAGCATCTTGATCATGAAGTTACGAGTTCGTTACTTACCGTTTTCCATTTTCTAATAAATTAAGTCGGCACGGGTAAAACTAAAAAAATGTACCTATATACAATATTCACGTTTCATATCTCCAAAAGGACTTTTGTTTATCAGAAAGTTTTCCCAACTCCACAAATTCAGGTAAATTCCAAGCATTGTCATTGTAACATTTTCGTCCGTCTTTCACGGCTTCTCTTTAAAAAGAAAGAATGACTTCTAATGATGATAGGAGCACATAGGGTCCACATTAATATTGTGCGTTTAGACTTAACCTTTCTACAATGGAATTGAGCGATGGTGCACAATGCCGTGTAAACACAACACGCGTGTTATTTTCAAATGTAAATGCTGAATAATTAATTCAGTGCATCAGCCACTCTATAAAAGTGGGACCTTAATTAGTACACCCACTTATATATAAAAACTAAGGCTTACATAGTTTTGAGTTCATAGCAAAGCAAATCCAAAATCACTAGCAAATTAATAAAAACATAAGCAGTGAGTGAGAAAGAGAGGATGATGATGAAGAAGGTGAGTACTGCCTCTGGTGTTGCTGTGTGTGCAATAGTGGTGATGACACTGCTTGTGATGGAGGTGATTCCCATAACAGAGGCAGTGACATGCAGCCCTGTGGAGTTGAGCCCATGCTTAGGGGCAATCACTTCATCTTCACCACCATCAAGCACATGTTGTCAGAAGGTGAGGGAACAAAGGCCATGCCTTTGTGGTTACCTCAAAAACCCAAGCCTGAGGCAATATGTGAACTCCCCTGGTGCCAGAAGGGTCGCTAGTTCTTGTGGGGTTCCCTTCCCTACTTGTTAATTTCACTTCTTATGTTATATATTATTTATATTGGAATAATATTTCTCATATCGTATGCGATAAATTTTATCTCCTACACATACATAAAAGTGTGAGGAACCATGTGAAGAGAAGAAAGAAAGAAAAATATGAATCACACACATTTTTATGTATATATATATAGGAAATAAAATTACCTCCATTATAATTATGTTATAGCTAGGAATAATGATTATCAATACCTAATAAGAAAATGATGTTGTTCAAGAGTGGCATTAGCTTGAACAAGTTTGAATGAGATGTTGAAGAAATAAAATGAGTAAATTAATTAGCAGTTTATGAGTTCTTGCATTTAAATTGAGCTTCATGATTTTATCTTTGCAAACAATTGCGTGAGTCGTACCTACGTGATGTATGAGTCAACAATTCATTGGTTCGTCAAGCCATACAATTCTTCTAGGTGGTGTTTGGTTTACGGCTTTCCAAAATTTACCTATGCAAACGAAGTAAGGTTTTCAGAAAGCATGTTTGGTTCAGCAGATTAACACAAAATTCCCATCCATCCATTTGCATTGCTTTTTCAACTTTGTCTTGGAAAGATAGGTTTCTGGACTGTTTAGAAAGACTTTTTGTAGGTGGTTTTTTTTTTTTGAAAACCCAGGTAAACCACTGTTTACAATCAGCCAACACACACGTTTCTTCTATGTCCGTTGGGAAATGATTAGGGGTAAAGGGTAGCAAGGCTGATTCAGTCTTTTTTAAAATCAAGGTTATTTTAGTAAAAGTATATTTTTTCTCATCTATATTTTATCAAAAGTCAAACAAAGACTTTACAAAAGTTACCTAATTTTCCTGGTAAAATTTTTTCTTACCAAACTACTTTTTTTACGTTTTCTTATCAAACTCATTTCCCAACCATTTCCCTAATAATCTCATTTCCCTATTATTCATACAAATTTCTCTTCAACCAAACATCCCATAGTGTTCAATATATTCAAAATTTCAAAGCATTGAATGCGGCATTGATAATGATAACGAGGAGGAGGATGTGGAGGGGAGAAAAAATTCTTTTAAATTTTATTAATACCAATTAATTTTTATTTAACAATATTAATGAATAATTTAAATGAAAAATGAAAAATTCTAGTTTTATAGTATTCTAGTACTGTAAATTCATTTTTTTAATTTCTTAACCGATTCATTGATTATTTAATTAATTCCGTTAAAATCCAACAGAATCACAAAGGACGATAACAGTTGATATGATAAACTTTTTTTTATACAAAATTGGGATAGGTTGATAAATTACTATTTCGCATTTATTTTTTGGTTTGGTTCGGGAGGGGTGGCTCTGCTCATTCATGTTGTAACCCGTAATATAATTATGTCCTTTATATTTCAGCAATAAATATTGGAAAATATAATGTTGCAAGATGTATGATACATCATGTTATAGAGACAAAATTTATGGAAAGAGAGATGGATAGTGGATTGTAAATACTGTGTTGTGTTCGATTCCTAATGTTTTCAAAAAAAGTATTTGTGGAAGGGATTTTTTTTTTATAACATGGGGAAACAAACCCCATAAATATTATTGGTTTAACAAGACAAAAAACATTTGCTTTCATATTAATATTATGAAACAAATGTTTCATATTTATTTGTATCATGGAGTGATGTAGCAATTAGGATTTTATTACTATCTCCTTTATCTTAGTTGTTTGTTATTGGACTAGTTTGTTTTTATTTTAGTTGTTTAAAATTTTTCATTAGGAGTTATCTTGTGAGTGTTATTAGTTTTAAATTCAAATTAGGATTTCTTTATATTTGTTTAACTTGTAATTCTATAAATTGTTAGCTCATTGAGCACATAAAACAAAAGAAGAAAATAATTCACATGTCCCTCCTAAAGTCTTAATATTTCACTCCAAAATCCTCTCTATCTCTAATTTATCTTTCTCTCTAATTTTGTTTATAACATTGGTGAATAATTCAAGTCTCTCCCTAATGTCTCAATATCCTTCCCAATCCTCTCTCCCCAATCTTTCTATCGCCAATTTCTCTTTATCTTTTAATTTTATTTCCTTCAAGTGACTTTATAATTATATCCCATGTTGGTATATAACTTAACATGTTTCAATTGCATAAATATTTATATATAATATTTTGTAAGATTTATACTTTTAATTTTTTTCATAATATGAGTGTAGTATTTTATTTAAAAATACAAAAATACAATATACAAAAGTAACGTTTCTCAATGAAAATTGAGAGATGTTACAAGATCAATTTGTTTACTTATCTTATATATAAAGACATCTAAGTTCTTTCCAAGAGTATTTAGCTTTGTGGCATTTTTAATATTATTATACTTGAGACATGGTAGTGTTGCATGGAAAGATACTTGAGATTTTTTATCTGTGTAATGATTATATTAGAATTATATTGTAATTAGGGTTTCCTTGCTTTTGTATTAGGTCTGATTATATTAGGTTTGGGCTTAGCCCATTAGTTTGTCTATATATTGTACATCTCTCATCAGATTAATACACAGATTAATACATGCAGATTATTTCAATGTTCCTCTCTTTTCTTGTTATTTAACATGGTATCAAAGCCTAAGGAACTTTGAAATTTTTTTTTCCGATGAACCAACTGTTCATCGTCTTTTAAATTTTTTTCGGAACTGTCTCGCTGTCAGTTTCCGGTACGCTTTGAAGAATCAAAGTGATGATAGGTCTGAATACCTAATTCTTCTTGAGTTGGGCGCTAGTTGGCTCCGTTCTGTTCTGTTGTGCAATCCGACGCTAGTTTGCGCCATTCCGGCGCCAACTAGCGCCAATTTCCTGGCATTTGTACTGCGAAACATCCGACCGAAGTTGCATGAAAAATGTAGAAGGATCCTTGGACCATAGAGGAAGACATGATGTTGATCAGATGTCACCAAGAAGTTGGAAATAAATGGGCAGAGATTGCAAGGTAGGACTGAGAACAACGTCAAGAATCATTGGAACACCACCAAGCGCCGCCAGAATACAAAGAAAGGGAAAAACAAAGCAATCACATATGAAGGATCATTGCTTCTTTATTCATGCATCAAAAGTGTCACTGGAGAACAACTTAACAAATCCACAAGCAACATGAACATGAACATGTTAAGTAATGGTTGTAATAATCTAGCTCGTATGTTTCCATATGGATCCTCAAATGGTGGTTTCAGCTCACAAGGTTGGGCAACTAATCAGGTGTATAATCAGAACCATGCTTTCACTGGAAATGGTGGATACGTGCCAATGCAGGTAAATGTTGATGGATTCGCAACTGATTAGAACTACGTGACAAAATTTGCCCATATAATGTCTTATACAGCTAACTACGTGACAAATATGCAATGGCTCGTGTCTCCTGTTTTGATGCTCCACGTTCAGGGGGTGTTTGTTTCAAGTTTTTGAAGAGGATTACCGGTAATCCTTCTTTGGTAAATGTAATTACTACGTTTGATAGAAGGAATAAATTATGATTCCCGGATATCCAAGGATTACCGGTAATTTGATTTATAAAGAAAAGTCACTATTCAAATTACCAAAAATAATATGGTAATTTGGAATACCAATCAGAATACCAAGTAAAGGGAAAACACAACAATAAATTTTGAGACAAAAATACCCCAATACACATAAAAATCTAGACCCAATCTATCAATTACAAAAGTAAAAATAGTTTGGGGTTATTTTTGTAAAATAATCTCATATTCTAAGTCATATTTCGTTCTAAACCAAATATGGAATCAGTAATTTTTACCCAATATTTCCGGTAATATTTTGGCGAACCAAACACCTCTTTCGTAAGATTCCAAGTAAACTCAATTTCTACTGTATTCTCATTAATCATGATTCCCGGTCACCAAAAAATTTCTCTTGTACCAAACACACCCTTAGTCTTAACCATCCATTTACTACTCCAAGTTGTGTTGGGATGAGAATTCAAGTGAGTACTAAAACTCTATATTGAATATAAATGTACTACGATAGGACTATATAAGTGAGGATTTCAAATTGCAATGGAGTTGTTAGAATGAGAGTGCAGGAGAAAGTTCAATGGGGACAATGCAAGCCATAGCCAAAATCTTAGGTCTACAATTTTGGCTTCAAAATTTGTTACAAACACTCAAAAAATGGCCGTTAAAAAGGCTTATGTAACGTGATGGTCAGCCTATTGACCATGGTCATTAAAATCAGAAAAAAGGATAAAAAATTATAAAACACAAAATTTTAAGGTAAATTTTTTTTGTAAAAACATAAAAGCATTTAAAATTTTAATGAAATTGTTTTGATTAAAAAGAATCATAAAATCGTAAAAGTGCGGATATAAATTAAAATTTTAACTACCATGCTACTGACTGATGTTGGATGAAATGAACTGATGTTGGAGGAAATGAATTCGGAGAGGGTTCGCAATGTTTCAACTTTGGTACTCTAATTGATCTGGAGAGGCTTCACATGGTCATGGAGAAGTACTGGTAAAAGTTAAAATATTAAATATGTATTAATTTTTTTGGGTGGGAAGAAGGACATGAAAACCAATGCAAAACAAACTGTCACGCACACGTAAATAAACCACATTATTATTTTACAAAAAATAAATAAATAAATAAATTCATATAATATATTATTAATTAACCACTTAATTATAGTTTAATTACAATTTAAATACCAGAAAAGGAAGATATGCTTACCACTTAGCTAGCGAACATTGGAAGGCGCTAGTCTTAAGTGTGATTTAATTTGGTTGGTGGATTACTTCTCGTTTGCCGTGTTATCTCCGTTGGATCTTTATTTAGAAATAATGACTGCTGAGTTCTAAGTTCTAACAATAGGAGCAATGGGTTCTATAATTTCTTCCTAATGAAATTTTTTTCTACTTTGGATACATTTTTCATTGTGTTCATACCAAAATGACCAATTACTAAAATGGTAAAAGAAAATGAAAAAGTTGCGAGTTAACCTTCAAGGATATATAAAGGGTTTGGGTCACTTCAATTTGCGTCTAATAAGCAGTTTTTCCAACTTCGTACCAACAAATATTCATTTCAC